GAAGATCGAGTATTTAGAGAAACTTACGAGGGAAGGTCATCAGGCCGGTCCGGCCATTTGCAATGAGTCGTATACCGTTGAAGTCGCCTCGAGGCGCTGAGCTCAGAACTGCCTTCCTTATCTGCTAAACGATTCTTTGAACGTAGTTATAAAGCAAGGAAGCGCAGTGGCAGTGCCCCGAACTCGCGAGCAAGAGGTCGTGGGAACGGTTCCTCGGAGAGTCTGTTTCTTTTGTGCTTCGCGAAAATGTAGCCAGAAAGCTTCCTAACTTCTTAATTTACCAATTTGCCATTATTTTCCTTGCACGAAAAAATTTCAAGCAGTTTCTTGCAGGTTTGGCAGTGTGCGTCCACGGATGAACATGTGGCCCGCAATGCACGTTTCAGGCTTTTCTCGCGGCAAACAGCGTGATATTCGTGTTCAAGAGATCAAACTACCCTTGGAGATAAGATTCCTACCCCGAATTGCAGTTGCAGTACAGGTTTGGGCAGTAGGTCTCCACGATGAACATGGTGCCCGCAATGCAGGTGTCAGGCTTTTTCGCGGCAAACAGCGCGTGATACTCGTTTCAAGAGAACAAACTACCCTTGGATATATTTCCTACCGAATCTGAGAATTTGACCCAACCCTAAAAAATGAGGTGATTCACCACATATATATCATCAACCTATCGTTGACTTGCATGAAAACTGCCCTTTCACTAAATGTTGAAAAGAACAACGTCAACGCTACATTTCGCATAATCAAATGATTTACATGACTCTGCATCTTCAGGGAGGTGTTTTCAGTTAGTTTTCGATTCGTACGCTTCTCACGTTTGCCTATAGTGACTGCCCCTTCCTCGAGTGAGAGGTCAAATATTCAGATTCAGCTGGTAAACTGTAACCAGGGAAAATCGATCTTCTGAACACGAATATCATGCTGGTTTACCGCAAAAACACCTTATCAAGTGCATGACGTCGTTTTTTAGGCCATGGCACATATAATTAACGCCAGTTGGCGCCGCCCGCATTGCGCGCGCAACACAGATCTGCGCGAATTTTGATGGTGCGACGAAAATTTCAAATTTGGCTTGATTTATCACGCATATCTGAATTTCAGCGCTACATTCTATCCGCTCCAGCATCGACGGCCTACCTCTTTTTCTTCGTCAACGCATTATTCTCTTTTTCCCGTCTCCGGACCTGTTCTGGACAATAAATCTCGTAGCAAACTCCGCCCTACTTCTGTGCGTGCTCCGCCCACAATCATTTTACGCCCTCCTTTCGCCGACCTCTACCCCTTTTTCAACCGGCTCTGACCTGCCTTGGAAGCAGCTATTCTTTTCCCTTCACCTCTAACCCCTTTCTCCTATCTCTAGACTTCTGTCAGCCGAGTCAATGAATTTTCGTCGCACCCTCCGCCCACTTGGTCAAGCCCGCTCACTCGTGATGCTGGGCTCCACTCCTCCACCCACCTCCCTCCACCCTTTTTCCCTGCGTCCGAGGCTTCTTGGAGCCGAATTACAATTTCAGCTCAAACTCCGCCCACATTGCGACGCTCCAACCCTCCCTTAGCAGTTGACTTCTTCTTTCTTTGCGCTGCATTACTTCTTTTAGCCACGTTCTCAGGACTTCTGAGCCACGTTAATAATTTTTCTGGTAATCTCCGCCCACTTTGGCACGCTGCACGGCCCACTATTGTATTTGAGTTCCGACTTCCTTCAACCACCTCTACCCACACTTTTCCGTGCCTCCGCGGACTTCTTGATCCCAGCTAATGACTTCCGTCGCAGACTCCGCCCAATTGGCCAACCCCGCCACACCGATGAACAGTTAGCCTCTCACTCCTACCATCTCATCCCTTTATGCTCCAACCCTTAGCCCCGAGCTTCAACCGAGCCCGAGTTATGAATTTCCTTCGCAACCTCCGCCCAATTGGCCAGCCCCCGCCCACGCGCATTACATTTAACCTCCACCCTCCACCCCCTCTCATCCACCCTTTTCCCCAGACTCCGGACTTTTGAAGCCGACTTATGATTTTTCGTCCCGCAAACTCCCGCCACTTTGGTCAAGCCGCCCCCACCATTGAGGGCTGGCCTCCACTCCTACCATACACCTCTATCCACCGCTTTTCTCGCTCTTTCATAGCTTTCGCCACCCGAATTATCTAGGGTTGTAAAAATGCTGTACACTTCAGAGCGCGCCCCGCCCATTCCTGGCGCGGCTCTGCCCACAGTCATGTAATGCAGGAAACACCCTAGAAATTGCTCCTTCACGAAATTGTTTTCATGCTGAGCTAGGGAATTTCGTGACAGACATACAGAACGACACACGACACACGACACACGACAGACGAAGCGCTTTATAGAAGTAGGATAATAGCTCTCAACCTGCGACGGGGTGCTCGCTAACTCCTTACACAGGCAAATAAAGGCAGGCATTGAGGGAATACTGTCGCTAAAAGCCTTACTGATCATGTTTTCAAAAAGGCAAAACACCAGGCACCACGAGAGAACGATCCCATGACCTCTCACCCACAAGTCTGGAGCGTTACCACTTCCGCCACGTCAACCGCCAAGCTCGCTTTCCCGCTTGGTTTATAGGGGCGACTCTAATGAAAGCGCTCATATACAGCGTTTGTACAGCGTTGAGGGGAAAACTTCCGTAACTCCGTTCAGAGCACCGTTTAGCAGATAAGAAAAGCGGTTTCTAGCTTATCGTCTCAAGACGAATACTTAGGTATACACCTCATTGCAAATGGCCGGACCGACCTGGTGACCTTTCCTTGTTAGTAAACTTTGAAATCGAAGTTTTTGGCGTAACCTTCAAGAAATCACATCTTACAGTGCAAGATGCTGAACTAATACCGGTATATCTGAAAAAAAAAACGGCAGCTCAGAAAATTTTTTACGCGCTTCACTTAATACCGGTCATTTTTCACTCAAGAAAACCTTGTTGTCAAAATTCACACCCTTGCACCGAGCCAACCGCCGGGGGGGGGGGCAATTCGTGTGGCATCCACTTTTCTTGTTTACCCCATTCAATGTGAACGTTTCAAAACGTTTATTCGGTAAATTTTAATTCATCTGTGAGCTCAACAAGCGCTGTATTGATTACAACTTGTCAACAAGAAGTTTTTTAGTTGGTCGGTTTGCTCTGAATAGCTGATAGCTATATCCACAGATAGTATGCAGTTGAGCTCAATCCACAGCATGGAATATTATACACTTCATCAGTAGTTTGATAAGCTTGCTAGTTATTTTTTCAAATTAAACGGAAAAATTATGGTCGAGAGGAGCAGTTCTGAGCGCTCCACTCAATTTGTGTCTAAACAATAAACCAATCACGAGCTCGGCAGGAAGCGCTCATATATTATAAAGTAGTTCCGAAACCATCGAATTCGATAGCTTTCAGAAAGGTTTTTGATCATTAGGCGGACTAGTTCAATGTATATGACGGAGGAGGTGCGAACAAGTCTCGCCATAATTGCGGTTGCATCTAACGTTGCCAACCCAACGCAGTCAATTAATGGGGTTACCCCATAGGCGATTGCTTATACACGCGAGTTGGCAGGTGTGACATAGGGAGTGTGAGGTCACTTGCATCTAAAGTCCTCCTCCCAAGTACCTCCACCCTTATATTCTATGTTCCGCCACCCCGGCTAACCGGCTCAACACGTTATACTTGTGAGTACTGAAAGCTATGGTACGTATACCATGAAAAGCTGAGTTGGGATGAAATGGAGCCCCGGTAGCGTGACTGGTAGCGCACTTGTCCGGAAAACGAGGGGTGCGGGTTCGAATCCCATCTGGGGCGAAAGTTTTGTTCACAACCTAGCACTCTTGTGAAACTTGAGTACACTTTTCTCTGCGCAAGTAGACAACGATACTTACCTCGCATAGGAATTTCTATCACACACTGCAAGTTGCTGTGAAGTGCAATGTATCACAACTCCAAAACGGTCGTGGCACAATCATTTCGAAGAAACTTTACGGTCATTCCAATAATTGAAGTGTGAAGAGCGAAATCAGCGCAGGGAAGAAGCTGGACGAAGAGTCAAGAATGGCGAAACTTGGGAGGCATCTGCGGTCCAGTCTACTCTGGCGCGCTGCATTATAGACAGATCATCCACATCAATTCAATAGTTCCGTGATCCGGACGAGCTATCTGGCCAAAATTTAGGCGGCGCCTGAGTGGCAATTACAGCCTATGCGCCCTAATGGCAAAATGACCACGCCATTTACTATACACCCTTTGTATACGGTAACGCCGGGCTCCTTGAAGTAGGCACAGCACAGTGCAACAAGAGTAGATGATTTTGAAATTTTCAGGCCTTTACAACGAAGTATAATGAGACGGCAACGATCATTCAACCAGTGGTCACAGAAATAAATGATGCGAAATCAAACTTCTCGTCGGCCCTCACTAATTCTGCTTCGCTTCAAGATCAAGCAATGCTTCTTACAAGTAAGACCAATTGTTTCCAAGATGGGTCAATCAGCAGCTATTGCGGTAATCTAACTCTAGCAAATCCTTGATGGAATTTCGCTAGTACGCTACACAAATAGTTCAAATGATTCGCTGAATAAAATTTACTCTCGCTTCGAAGAGTTGGAATACCAACGCAATCTTCAGATTGCTCAACAAAACAGTGCACAATTGAAAGGTCCAAAAATAACAAACAACAACAATTCACAAGAAATCTTACAAGAAACTTTACAAGAAATTCTTACTCCTATAATTTCCGAAATCGTCAAGTCCTGAAGGCAGAAAATCTTTGAAAAAAAAACTATTTCACAGTTGCAATAGAACTCGCCGCTAGTTTATCGGGACAAATCATGTCATTTCCTCATGTGAGCAAGGAATCGCCACCAATCGCAGCTCGAGAAGAGAACGATAAGTACGTGCGAAAAATACTAGCGCCTTCTCTGCGTGCTCCAGGCGAAAGAAACTTCAGTGAAACTATTCTCCAAAAACAAATGAAGTTTTCAAAAGCAGCGGAAATTGCTAATCTCTTACTATCTCTTTAGTGAACGAGGGTGACCGTTGAAGCAGTAATGTGACATGTGTGATGGCAAAAGCCATTTGAGCAACGTCCTCACGTGGTGTTCCTGCCAGTTTCGAGAGATCCGACAGCATCTAAGAATATAATTTTCTTTTACCTGAACACAATGGTAACATTTCAATTGAAAATACCGACTTTATACGACCAATGGTAATTGTAATAAACTGTGTAATCTAATTATATCAATCCGATAATTTTGTTAACGATTTCGAAAAAAGACTTAAGAGGACCTCCGAGTTGGAAATATCGCGTCTTGATATTCGATTGGAAGGTAAAAAATGAGATTTTTTTTGAAATTTTCATACGATCACCAGCTGCACCCCTTTTGCATGCGCTCTCTTGCCTGAACAACGGCTCATGGTCACTAAATGGATGTGATCTCACATAAACTTTTGCAACACTGTAGATGGCTTTTCACATACCCCGAAGCCGCTCCCTCTTAAGGGCTTAGCCTTAGTGCCTTACCTTCCTCCTTGGTTTGTAGCCGAACTACATGCCGCTCTCTGAGGCTGATGTCAGAGTCCGCGATCGTTTGCGCGATTTGCGCGATTTACGCGATTTACGCGATTTGCGCAAAACCTGCGATGGATCACAGGAGTACAAAAGGCACAACACACACAAGGCGCCCGCGAACTGTGCTGGAACATTTTCAAATTTCCCGCACACTTCGCGGGCACCGGCTCGACCGTGCTCGCCGCGGCGCCCATAAAACGTGAAAAAGTAGGTGGGGTGAGGGGTATGGGGGCACTTTCGATCTCAATAACGTCCGCAGCTTCGCGCGGTAATATACAAAAAGTGCAAGTACCACCATTTAAACAATGAAACACTGAATATGAAAGCAAGATGGAATCACATCAAAGCAAGTCCTTCCATTAAACCATAACCATCAAGCAAAGTTAACGTGCGGATGGAGAATCACCTTGCTGTATTGATGGGCACTTGTGAATTTCCCGTGACCCGTCGCTCCCACATCGCGACAAATCCCATCGCGCAAAGTGATCGCGGACTCTGACACAGCAACTAACCGTTCTGTGCTTCGGCCATTTGCGGGCCGTCCATTGAGAATCACTAGTGCCGAACCTTCCCCGTTCCCCTCACCCCTGCCTCTCGCAATGGTTAGCACCATGCATCCGTTGAACTCCGCTAGGCTGGTTCGAAGCAAGAAGATAAAGTGAACCCCAGATATTCTGTGAAAATGTGCACTAACGGCCATCGTGTAAAAATGATGTCAATAATCGCTAACTCTCGGTAGATAAACCGCGCCGCCAATATCCACGTAAAAACGCACCTCGCTGGTTTAGTGCGCTTGGTACATCTCCCGAGACAGACGTAACCTGCCCCATAGAGTATTTGATTTGCCGATTACGGAAACAACATTATTTTTAGCGGTGGCGCCATACTGGCGCAGGTTGGCGATCGCTTGTTACACCCCCTCTGTATCACGAAAATTCAGTCCATAACCTACGTATAGGGGTTATTAGGTCTATTACGAATATGACATTCGTTTTTTAGCCCAAACGTTTCATGCAACATCCGGGGCGACGGACATTTTGAGGTGCGTCCCAGGATGGCACGCGGATCGCACGCGCTGCGCCGCAAAGCCGATGCCAATCTCTGTGGTGATTCGGGGCGTCTGTATGGAATTTGCCTGTGCGCCAAAAAATGTGAAACGGATAAATTTCCGCAAGGTTCTCGACTCAAATTACATCCAAACACGTGCAATTTCAAAGCGGATAATCAGTAAACTTTGGTAAGTAGGGGTGAGTGCATAAAGCTGTGACAGCGCTCAGGGCGTCATGTCGTTGGAGTGAGTGAGCCAATTACTGTGCTTGGAACTGAGCCTCAGGGGAAGGGAATTGGGGGAGCAAATTGTGTTCTTCCAGGCGTTCCTCCCCCTACTGGGCTTGGTCCTAGTGTCACCACCATCGGCTGTTTTGAATGTCCTCTTACGATTAGAGACACGAGCGCCACGATCAGAAAAGCAATAAATAGTTGACACTGAAAAACATTGCAGTAAAAACTCCTATTTATAGCGTGCCTTAATCGCAAGGGTGATGGGTTTATCCGCAATCTGATGCGCTTTGACTTTCGAATTCTAGTACAGAACACGAGAAGCCTTGCCTCATCCGGTTCGCCGCGCATGCCGCCGCGCAATTCGCCGCGTGCCAGTCCGGACGCACCAAAAGTCCCGCACCCGCACATCCCTCCGGTGGAGGGTGCAGATGAGCAGAAAATAGTCGCCAAGTAGCGCCAACGCTGAGAGTGAATGTCATATTCGTAATCAGGACACCAAATACACCAAATTTGGTGGGAACAGGTGTCGTGACAAGGTGACGCTAACCGGCGCCAGATGGCGCCACCGCCAAAAATGAAAGTTATTTTCGTAATCAGGGCATCAAACTACCTCTTATACTAGTTTTCAAGGTGAACAAAATTACATTGCACGAGCGAAGGTGTTTTTACGTGATATTGGGGCAGGCTAACCTACCGGAAATTAGGGTAACTGTACCGTTCTTAGAGCCGCTGCGGATTTTGAAGATATGAAAAATTTGGATTACTGTCACTTCTACAAACTCCAAATTAATTCTAAAAAAAAGTTTAACACAAAAACTAAAAGTAGAGACAAGGAAATTATGCAAAGCACTGTGCTCTCAATGCAATAACACCATCTAGAGATGCTTTCATAATTTGAGCCCGTGCGAAATGTGGCATTAGTGCATACAGTGCGAACAGTGCAGAGTAACAGCACACAATGCTGACAAAGGACTGAAGAGGCTGGTACTTAACTGGAAAGTGGTGCGTACCACTTCTCTCGGAGGACTGAGAAGAAGACTGAGCCTAAGCCTAACCTGATATAAGCCAATGAGCGAGCATAAGCTTAAGCTTAGGCCAAATCACTGGTCGCGCAGATCCAGTCCGTCCAACTATTAGGTTGTCTCAAAAGTTCGAATGCACGTTTTGGATCTTATGCTTCAAGCTCCTTCAGCAAATTCTAATGATTAGGCTGTGGAGAGGGCACGACGCGTAGTAAGTCTGCTTTCATACTTCACGCCGGTGCGGTCGGTGCCACCGTGCCGATGGCGCCGACCGCACCGAAAGTGCGAAGAGGTCAATATGCGCCCTGGCGCATGACGCGTACGTTGGGCGCAGATCGGGCGCTCCGATCGATAATCCCGGTTTTGGTGTATTTCTTGTATTTTCGATGTTTTTTTGCGCCGTTATGCTTTTATTCGTGTGTTATCTGCCATACTTATTCTTTTATGTCTCGTTTCATACTTTCCAGTTGTTCCGTGGACGAGCGACTTCGTACAACCCCGTGTGAACGTGGCTCCCTAGTGAGTTCATCATGATCAATTTTGTTTATTCGAGTGAACTCTATAATTTTATATTTTGCTTTTTCTTCGATACGATTTCTTGCTGGTGTGCGAAAGGCCGCCGGATCTTGATAATTTAATCATTCGCACATTAGCAGGAAATCGTATCCAAGACAAAGCAACTACTGGAAACATACAGTTCACTCGAATAAACAAAATTGCTCATGATGAACTCACCGAGTCTTGAAGCCACGTTCACACGGGGTTGTACGACGTCGCTAGTCCGCGGAACAACTGAAAAGTATTCATCAAGACATAAAAAAAATAAGTATGAACAAAAAACACACTAATAAAAGGAAGACTGTGCAAAAAAATATCGAAAGAGACAAGAAGTACACCAAAACCAAGATCATCGATCGGAGCGCGCCATCTGCGCCCAACGTACGCATCATGCGCCAGAGCGCGTATTGACGCTCTTCGCACTGTTGTTGCGGTCGGCGCCGTCGGGGCCGACTGCATCGACCGCACCGACCGCACCGGCGCGAAGTATGAAAGCAGCCTAACTTATGACCGAATTATGCCCACCTCAGTCGCATTCTTCGAGTTTGAAGTGGTAGATTGAAGAGCCATATTTTTCACGCTGTAACTAAGTACTTCTACTAAGCCTCAAATCCGTCCAACCGGAAGTAACACCTACTTTGTGATACATCTCCTTGTCGTTGCCAGCCATGAGATATCAGAAAAGATGGATCTTCTTTGCTCAAGAGACTACAACCTGGAGAAAACCCTAGCTCGGGAAGGCCATAGGTGTCGGTTATGGAGAGACTGTGTTCTTTCGTTGAAGCCAATCTCACAGGGTGATCTTTATGTAGCCACCTTGGTGTCTCAGGCACAGTTCACAGAGGTTCTCTCTCCTTCATAAAAGGGTTGAAGCTTTGCCAAAAGTTGATTCGTGAATTGACCATTGATGACAGGAGTGCGACACGAGTCCCGTCTATAACTTGTTTCCCTCTCCATCCGTGGTTGAGCAAAGCTTCTACTACAGTTGAGGAGTACAGGTTTCATGACAACAAAACCCAGAAAATCCACTGATTGGGTGGAGAAGAAGACGGTAAAGATGGTCAAGTTCACCGCAAGATCATGCTCCGCCTTTTTTGGAACGTTCTCGAGTTAACCAGCAAAAATTCCTCCCTTGTTCTAGCCACAAGTGAGTCATGTCTAGTGTGACTCACGGCGTATCTCCAACAACTTCCTCAAAACTCAAAAAAATGTGCCCGCTACGCAACCATCAAGAGCAAGCGTTTCGAAAAAGACCCGGCTCTAGATATCGAAGCTTAGTTGAAAATTTCTACCCTATCCATCGTGTAGCGGTGAACAGCCTTCCTCCAAAGGACGTCTGATCTTCTCGCTCAGCAATCATCTTGCGGACAAAAGAAAATAGGCATCTGAAATTTGACTCACTACCTTTTCCAGCTCGTAACTGCCAATCTTCTGAGAGCTAGGGCCACTCTTCGGTTGGTCGTTGACAACAAGTCACTGATAGTAATGGTATATATAATGAATATAGACAATGCATGGCTTCAGATGGAGTAGGCTCAAAAAGAAGTTCAAGATACGCACGAACTTTTGAAACAACGTAATAGAAGGAGAACTGAGCGAATCCTTCGGAGAGGCAATTTTGATGCATATTCCACCCCGCCAAAAGTGTGGAAGCAACTAAAGAAGGACAAATGGAAATACCAACGAAAATCAAAAAAAATACCTGCTCATAGTACTGTGCAGCTAGTACACACATAGCTGCAGCCGCCACTGTGCTTGCACCGAGCAGCATCCAGTCAGCCTTGACACGCTCAACATCAGCCCTAGAACGTTATGTTCATGTAATGCCTTATAAGTGGCATTCAAAATAGTAACCGAAACCTTGGAATTGATTTCAAAACCTCGACATTTGCAACTGCTGACTGCAATACAATTTGATAAACCTGGAATACAAAACACCTAATAGTGTGGTCATACTTTTCGAGCGTCGGTCCGCTCGAGTGTAGAATCGATACGTAGGCGATCGACAACCGAAAACCGCAGACCGCGCGATAGATTGCGTACCTACTCCAAACCCGACTGCTAGATGGTCGAAAGTAAGCTAAACCATACTCTAAAATATATTCTGTGGTGCTATAGATAGTCCAACAGTAAGATGGACTGCAGGTATTCGTAATATAAAAGTAAACTAATATAAGTAAATGTAACAAATATATGATAAATATACATAATAATCCTCTATATATATTCGGCTAAGTGTGTGTGTGTGTGTGTGTGTGGTGTGTGTGTGTGTGGTGTGTGTGTGGCGTGTGTGTGGTGTGTGTGGTGTGTTTGTTGTGTGTGTGTGCGTGTGTGTGCGTGTGTGTGTGTGTGTGTGTGTGTGTGTGTGTGTGTGTGATGGTGTGTGCGTGTGTGCTGCGTGTGTGTGTGTTGCGTGTGTGTGTGTGTGTGCGTGTATGTGTGTGCGTGCGTGTGTGTGGTGTGTGTCTGGTTGTCTGTCTGTCTGTCTGTCTGTCCTGTAGTACGTCCGTCTGGTCACGAAATTCGTACCGCGCTTCAGTGGGCAGGATGGAACGCTGTATTTTGAGTATGGTGTAGGGGTGGGACGGCAACATATTTGGTGGGGTTTATAAAGTGGTACCGACTGCTAAGATCTGATAAGAGGCGCCAAAACACCAATTTCATGATGTTCATAGCGCCCAGAAGTGGTGGGGCGTTGGTTCCAGGAAGTGATATACAGCGTGGGACGGGATCATGTTCGGTGAGGTACAGGAGGTGATAGAGACCGATAAGGGTTGATAAGAGGCGCCGAAACGCAAATCTCACGAAATTCACAGCGCGCGTCCCAGCAGCAGTGGGGCGTTGGTCCCAAGAAGTGATGTACAGCGTGGGACGGGATCATTTTCGGTGAGGTACAGGAGGTGATACGGCCGATGATCACGGTATTTGTGGGAACATATAGATCGCTCAAAACCGTGGTTCTAGATAACGCATTTCACTTCAATATCATCTCATTGCGTTGTTGTCATCAACATAAAAGACCGTTGGACCGCTCAATTCCCAAAGTCCCTAAGAATGTATGATGGATGTTTAGCGATATACGATGAGCCCTTTCGTGTCATGCACGCGATAGTGTGCGGAGCTAAACTGGTAATAACATATAATAATAATATATAATATAATAATATAATACAATAATAATATATCATACTATTATATAAACCAGGGGGCAAATACCACTGTTGAAACGGGAAAATCCTCGAATTTCGAACTTTCACGCTTGATAACTTCTTTCGCCAGAAATCATCAGAAACTGGGATGGCGGTATTAAATAACCTTGAAACGAGAAAATTAATCAATTGTCTTAACTTCTCCCATTTTTCCACCCTCCTTCTCCTCCCTTTCAAGTTATACCTAGACTCCCAAAACCCAAACCACTCCCATCAGTAACACTTCTGCCATGTTCCACAAACATGGGAAGATGCTTGACAAAAAAATTCGTGAATGTATCATCATGTGCACAAAGCAAAAAGAGAATGATAGAAAAAAAACTACTCATTCTGTGCATGAAATACCCATAAGCTGGCTGAGCATTGCTCATTCTGGCGGGGTGTAAATAGGTGTAAACTGGGTATCCCACTGCATTTATAATTCTTTTCTAAGACGGCTTGAGAAGCCGAAAAAGTATGGGGCTCGGGATTTCATTGCCATAAGTGTTGTTTTTGAAAACTTCTGAGCTATCAACCGATACGGATTATATACTATAGATAGGTTTTGCCCTTACTATAGATACTATAGATAGGGGTCGGAATTGGTCACCTCTCACACTGGGTGAGGTCGCAGCAACCAAAATTCTATAAGTTCATGTATGATTGCATATGTATTGCGCAGCTCGGGTCAGTATCATCCCCCACAAGTCATCTACTCACCGCAGCCGTCTCTCGCACTCGGTATCGTGCGCAGCCCAACTGGTAATAATAATAATAATAATATAATAATAAAAATAAAATAGTAATAGTCGTAAAAACGACATGCCTGTTCATGATGCAGAAAAACGATATCCAAAAACAATAAGGTGTGCTCCCAAATTGAGTTGAAGTTCACTTGTGGCCAGGAAGGAACTGGAATAGCGCTGCATCCGACTGATCTCAAAAGTAAACCTGAAGCCACCATAGAAGGGTGTGGTTCACACTAGGAAAGAAAGAGGCTTTTTCGCGTTTTGCAGCGCGAAACATTTTCCGCTGCGGATACCTCAGGTCCATCGCTGATCATCAGTGGACTCGAGGTTCCCCCAGCGAATCATCAGTAGACCCGAGATTCCCACAATGAACAATGTTTCGCGCTGCGAAACGCGAAAATTCGCTTTCTGTCTTTATGAACCACACCCACCATAGAAGCAAGAAAAGTCACAAACCAATAGATTTAAGGAGAGTTTCTGAATAAACCAAAGGAGACTGAGGTAGGCGAAAATTGAGCGTTTTTAGAATACGCAGTTCTGATTTCAATGCTGCCCGTTGGGTGTAAGCAAATCCTAGCGAACGCAAACAAGAGCATATTTGCTTTGAAGAGAGACTCTAAATGTAGTTATCAAGTATTCGTTATGGCAATTAAAAACTGGCTTACATCGTGGTAGCTAAGCACTTTGGATGCAATCTGTATGGAGGAAAGCATACGAAGAGTTGTTTGTCTGGAAAGGATTGAACAAGGAACAGGAACAGCATAACAGAAACGAACCAAACAGAAAAAAACACTAGATACCTAGATAAATTGGCCTCCACTTTATCCCATTCTCGAAGACGGCGAGAATCGCTCATTTTAACATAATTTAAAAAATTAAGGACTTGCATGGAATGAATACGCATAAATCTGAAATCAAATCCATTACTGACAAAGAATATGGGAGTACCAGAAAAAATACCGTGAAAATATTAAAACCGCTAAATATCGTATATCGTGTGGAAGACGCAAGCGAACGCAAACGGTAAAAATGTACTGAACACTTTCAAGAGTCAAATAATCATTGTCATTCTCAGTTGTTGCCATTATACGATCTAAAAGAAAGGTACTAAGAGGGCACAATCAATATATTGTAGAAACACCTGAAATAAGAACAAACCCGAGTTCTGCAAAGCTAGCTCACAAATCCAGTCGGAGCAATAATCGGAAGGCAATTCTGCTGGTTTGGAAACGAAATCAGGATCTGGTCCCGACTCATCAACCTGCTGAAAAAGTCTTCGAAAAACCATTCACAATCATCAAGAAATACACTTACCTGCCTCCTGCCGCTGTTCATAAAAGAGCCGCGTCCTCCTCGTGAAGTCGGGCCTTTTACCTACAAGGATGAGTCACGCTTCTGGAAGTCACTGTGAAAAACAAATCCTTGATATTGCCGAGTTAGATGTTTGAAACTGCGGTAACAGTTTGCAGCTACGCTACAAAATACGAAGGCCTATGTCAGATTTTGCAAATCGCTGGATTTGACAAAACAAAATTTTCGCTACAGACGGGACTCTACATAATCTGCACTTCTTCCTTGGGCTGATGTCAGAGTCCGCGATCCTTTGCGCGATTTGCGCGATTTTCGCGATTTGGGCGACGGGTCACGGAAATCACAAGTGCCCCATCCATACTGCAAGGTGTTCTCCAATCCCGCCGTCACTTCTACTTGATGGTTATGGTTTGATGGAGACTGCTCATGATTCCACTTGTTTCGTATACAGTGTTTCAATTGTTCAAATGGGGCACTTGCAATTTTTGTGATTGGTTTGGTTTGATTCCTGAAAAAAAAATAGGAACGATCGAAGAGCATTTCAATGAACTAATAGGCATTGAACATGAAACAAGTGGAACCACAAACATTCGTCTTCCAATCTTTACTACCAAGCACAATTTGACTCTTGTCTCGCACCCATCCCCATACCGGCTTTTCGTGAGGTTTGACCCCCCCCCACCCCATCCCCCGTGCCAAAGAAGCATATCAAGTTCTTGGCTCTATTCAAGTGGGGGTGGGTACGCCCACCTTTTCACGCATGTCAAGTGACTGCCCTCACCCCTCCCACCCCCCTCCCCCCTCTAGATTGGCTACACTCCCCTGGCTCGCCACGAATTCTTCCATTCTCGTGACAGTATAGTAACGGGCAGCAGTCCCACTTACATACATTTTTTTCAAAAATGCGGCGTGCCCACCCGACATGTATATCACCGAGTTCTTAAGTCGCGTTAAGAACTCGTCTAGGTACGAGCTCATACTGTTGTGTCCTTCGGAAGACGGGTAGCAGTAGAATATTTATTAGAAGACATTGAACTGAACTACAATGAAACTGTACACTTATATACCGTACTGGCCCGCCAGATCTCTGGTCAAAATCTAGCAGGTCGCGTAGGTTACAGATCAAGTACAAGAGAAAAGAGATCACATGGTGTCCCAACACCTCCCCCCTAAGATTGACGGCTCTGGTACGACTTGGCGTAAGGGTCAATCTGAAGGTAATCAGGAGGGCGTCGAGTGCGGCTCGATCGTCGTCCGGGTGCGGTGGTCGGAGGTTCCAAGGGTGTAGTTGTCGTCGTCGTTGCCGGTGTAGTCGTTGTCGTAGACGGTGCAGTCGTGACCATCGGAGACAACGGTGGCGTCAGCGTCCTTGAAAGTGATACTGGTGTGGAGCTGAACGGCATATCAAAGGCGTCCATTAGGTTGCGTGCATCTTCCGGCGAAGCACGTGGGCGTACTTGATTGGCGTGGCGCTTCCAGATGGATCCTTGTACTAGGACGTCGTAGAGCGTTCGACCGTGTCGTAGTAGAACGCGTCCAGGAGACCATCTGGGTTGTCCGGAGCGGAAGTCGTGGCAGGCCGTAACACGAGGTCATCTGGCTCAAACTTCCTTGGCTTGGCCCCGTGTCGTCGTTGAACTGTTTCTCCATGCGATGTCTGGCCTAGCTTCTGGCGCGTGCTAGGCTTCAGCAGATCCAGCGTGCTGCGGAGGCGTCGACCGATGAAGTTTTTTGCGGGGGATCGTCCATCGGGCGAAGCGGTGCACGGCGTGTTCCTGTAGGTGAAGAGAAATGTCTGCAGAGCTTGCACGGTTGGTCCATGTTCTTCATCTTCCCCAGTGAGCGCTTAAAGGTGTCGACGAAGCGTTCAGCTTGTCCATTTGACTGAGGATGAAACGGCGGCGACGGACGGCTCGATTCCTTTACTTCTGCAGAGCTGTTGTGAACTCTTCGGAGAGAACTGAGTTCCATTATCCGAAACGATGACTTGGGAAGTCCGAATTGTGCGAAAAGGCGTCGGAGTTCCTTAGTGTGGCGGTACTGGGTGGACGTCATTGGATTGACTTCAGGCCATTTGGAGAAGGCGTCGACGACCATCAGATAAGAAATCCCGTCCATTGGGCCAGCGAAATCGATATGGATCCGGCTCCATGGCGCATCTGGGCGGGACCACGAACAAAGCGTATTCTTGATGGGCGACTTGGCAGCTTCTTGACAGTTGGCGCAGTTGCGAACTAGCTCTCCAAGTCGTCGTTTATCTTCGTCCAGAATACGTAGCTACGAGCAAGGGCCTTCATCCGATTCATCCCTGGGTGTCCGTCGTGGAGCATCTTCATAACAATCGGCTGGAGTGCAGGCGGGATGATGATGCGGCTGCCGAATAGTAGGCATCCTTGCTGGGTTGAAAGTTCGTTGCGCAGGTGGGCGTAACTCGCAACGGTGGGTGATGGCTTCTTTGGCCAGTTGTTGTGAACGACGTGTTCCAACACTTGACGTAGGCAGTCGTCCTCAGCGGTACCGCGTGCGACATCTCTGGCAGTAACCGGCAGACGGCTTACATTGTCGTGAAAGATGGCGTTGACGTCCCTGGCGATTTTGGCGATTATAACGTCTCCTCTGGAGGCGACTGAGTGGAGATGAGTCGAGAGAGAGCGTCGGCCTGTCCGAAGTTGGTGGTGCTCCGGTACTTGATGTCGAAGTTGTAGGCGAGCAACGTAAGTCTCCAGTGTTGAAGGCGATTCGCCGAGTAGGCAGACCGCTACTCTTTGATCCGAATATGGCCAAGAGTGTTTTGTGGTCCGTGAGAAGGGTGAAGTGGCGTCCGTAAATAAAGCGGTGAAACTTGCGCACGGCGTAGATGAGTGCGAGCCCTTCCTTCTCTATTTGACCGTAATTCTTCTCTGCGGCAGTGAGAGAGCGGCTAGCGCGGTAGACAGCTTTCTCTGTTCCATCCGGGTAACGATGGGAGATAACTGCTCCTATTCCATAGTCTGAAGCGTCGGCCGCGATGACGATTGGCAGATTCGGGTTGTAATGAGTCAGGAGCAGGTCCGAAGCGAGCACCTCCTTGGCGCGTTCGAAAGCGGCGTCGCATTCGGAATTCCAGTTTAAGGGAGCATCCTTCTTGAGTAGTGCGTCGAGCGGTGCACGGAGCTGGCGCATCTCTGGAACGAACGCTCCGTAGTAGTTGATGAGACCGAGGAATGACCGGACCTGGGCGGTATCCTTCGGTTTTGGCATCTGTGTAATGGCGTCGATCTTCTTGGGATCGGGTCGGCGTCCGGCAGCGGTGATGACGTTTCCAAGATAGGTCAACTGGGTCATCACGAAATGGCACTTGTCGATAGGGACGCGGAAGCCGTAAGCGGATATCTTTGGAAAGAGGGCTTCCAGGTTGGCGTTGTGCTCGGAGAGTGTGCGGCCGGTGACGATGACGTCGTCGAGGTAGGCACCAACGCCGTTGAGTCCAGAGATCATGGAGTCGATGATCTGCTGGAAGATGCCAGGCGCTGATTTGACTCCAAACGGCAAGCGATTGTAGCGGTAGAGTCCTCGATGCGTGTTGATTGTGAGGAGCTCTTTGGAGTCGTCGTCGACTTCGACCTGTAGGTAGGCGTCGGCAAAGTCGATCTGAGAGAAGACGGTTCCGCCATTGAGCTTAGTGAAGACGTCCTCTGCGGTGGGCAATGGGTGTCGGTGCAACAGCAATGCGTCGTTGAGTCCCGTCGAGAAGTCGGCGCTAAGTCGGATGGATCCATTGGCCTTCTTCACAACGACGATTGGCGCGGCCCATTGTGAATGATCGACGGCGGAGATGACGTTCTGTGCCACGAGACGGTCGATCTCGGCGTCGAGGAGAGGAACAGAGGCGTAGGGAACCGGTCTCTTCTTGATGAAAACCGGGCGAGCATTGAGCTTGAGGTAGAGCGTCGCCTTGGCCTTGGTACAGCATCCAAGTTCTGGCTTGAAGACATCGATGAAGTGTTGCTTCAGCTTGGCGATCGTCTGGTCTCGGATTGCGTCGTAGTCGAGTGTCTGCACCTTCTGGATATTGAATCTCTTCAGAACTGAGTTGAAATCCTGAATTTGTTCGATCCATGTGATGCCGAGAAGGTCATTGTCGTCAGAAACGTAGCAGACGCTTGTCCAGGATGAGCCTTTCCTTGGTTGTCCACTACCACGAAAACAGCGTCGAATTTTCCGTGAATCGGTAGTGGTAGACCTTTGGCTCCTTCGAAGACGTCGGAAGTCTTCTGTAGACGCGGGCTTCCGAGTCGCATCCAGGTTGGAGAAATGATGGTGACGTCGGCGCCGGTGTCCAACTGGAGGCGAGTGGGATGTCCATTGATGTAAACTTCCAGGTACTTTTGGACATCTCCAGAGCGCCCGATGGCTCGTTGATACCACGTGCGCGGTGATGACTGCTTGATGCGACGTCGTGGCGCAGTCCTTGACTCCCGAGCGGCACTGGTAGAGTTGCGGTTCTGTGGGCAATCCTTCTTCCAACGTTGTTGCTGACAGATCGGACACGGTGATGGCGGAAGTCGAGGCTTGATTGCGGGAGAGAGGCGATGCTTCTTCCTCTTCTGGACGGCGCGGATTTCCGGTGAGTTGGTGGCTTCGACGATTTTGGAGTCATCCTTGACTGATTTCCAGGCGTGGTACTCCTTAGCCAAATCGTCGACAGTGATCTCGTCTTCGTCCAGCTTGCGAAGGAAGCGAACACGATAGTCGGCTAGCTCTGGGGCTTGGAAGGCGAACACCAGGGCCAGGCATTCTAGCGTTTCCTGTCTGATGTCCTTGCAGTTCGATGTCCTCGTTGGGCGAGAAGCTCATCCGGAAGCATTCAAAACGGCGGCGGAAGACGCTCTTCTTGGTGCCGAATAGCGCCTTCAGGGTTGCGACAGTTCAGCTCTCCTGGCTCCTTTGGGAGGATGTGACGAGCGAAGCGGGTGTGACTTGCAGCGTCCAGCGCAGAGACGAGCAAGCGTGTCTTCACCGTTTCGTCCATCCCTTGACAGTCG